TGTTTGTTACAGCGGATAAAGAGCAGGACTTCGAGAAGCCTGCAGGTGTGGTTGGTCAGCTGGTCTGCTTTCTTTTTGATGATTGTGTGCGCATGTTAGAAAAGATCCAAAAACACTATCAGAGGATGAACATACAAGGTAACATCCCCTTGAAGAATTCATTATACGTTTCTTCTTCTTTTCGGGGGGGGGGGGAGGTTTCGAGACAGGGTTTCTCTGTAGCTTTGGAGTGTCCTAGAACTAGCTTTTGTAGCATAGGCTGGCCTCGAACTCACAGAGATCCGCCTGCCTCTGCCTCCGGAGTGCTGGGATTAAAGGTGTGCACCACCACCGCCCGGCTTCCTTATAACATGAGGCAGTGACTCAGGAATTTCTTTCCCCAGCTATCCATCTATCATTTAGAACATGTCTGTTGGTGACTGACTTTCGCAATAGAAACCAAAAGAACATCCTGGCAATTCTGATGCATATTTATCTGTGCATATTCATAGCACAGAGAAATAGTTTCTGAGTCACAACAGAAAGCTGCTTCAGGAAAAGTTGAAACTAAATTCATTCGCAAAGCAAGTTATTGATGGTAATTCATTGGAGAAAACCATATTAGATATCTTGAAACTCTCATGTAAAAATCATGAAATCTGATTAATGGAGATGGGATAATTTAAGATATGAGTTAGCCCGAAATATGCTTAAGCTATTGGCCAAACAGTATTGCAAATAATATGGTTTCTGTGTGGTTATTTTGGGGCTGAGCAGCCGGGAACAAATAAGTGGCTTTTGTACAACAAATTGGCCCCAGGATGCACAGATTAATAGAGATGGGCTAATTTAAGATATGAGTTAGCTATAAATATGCTTAAGCTATTGGCCAAACAGTATTGCAAATAATATGTTTTTTGTGTGATTATTCCAGGCTGGGAAGCTGAGAAAGAGCGAATGGTCTCCTACTACAAATTGACACTCCAATGTGTGCTAGCTAAATCCACATAAAATCTGAGAGGGCTTGGACAAGAATTCTAGACACTAAAAAACAAAGTTTAGCCACATTTTTTCCTAAATGGGCTGCTCCTGATTCAGCAGTAGTCGGAAAAAAAAAAGAAACTACAGAGTTTTGAACCAGCTGCTTCCTGGGCCATGCTGGAGTACAAACTCTGACTCTTTCAGGAGATCAAATATTTAAATGGGGTTTGTGAGCAGAGTGTTACAACTTGCTTAATGGCAACATAGACCCAATGTGTGCCTGAAAATTGGGCTGTGAATATGGCTTGTGCTAAACAGATCTCTGCCCCACCATGTTGGACTGGGCAGAACCAAAAGGCAAAGCCGCCTCAGAAGCACTTAGCATTTTAAGAAGCGCTTCTGGACAGAAAATAATTGCAGATACACAATAGGACAGATTCAGATATAAAAGACCTCTAAATGAGTCACAGTGTGTTTAAAACATGTATGTAGGCTCGGGAGAGAGAAGAAAAGGAGGACAGAGACAGTAAACGTAATATAAAAGAGTACAGAGAGTCATAGATTAAAGGAATTAAATACTAAACTTGTAGAAAAAGTAATAGAGTAAGAAAAATAAGCCATGTAAAGATGGAATATACACAGAGAGTCTAGATTATGTATATCATTGTGTTTTCTTTGAATTCTTTTGACTGTGAAGGAACTAAGTACAGAAAGACATTTCATTTTATGGTCTGCTAAGCTAAACCAGCATAAAGGTATCTTGACTTCAGAATTTGGGTCTAAGAATAAGTTGCTTCGGAAAAGAGGTTTACATTTGCTTCCACAGAAGATGAGAACCTGTGGAATCCTTCCAGACTAATATGGTTTGAGGGACCAAGACTCCCTGAAATGTCACTGTGAATAACCCCCAAAATACTTTGTCCAACAAAAAGCAGGAAGCAGGTTGGAGAAAACTATGCCCAAATTCCCTAAATGAGTGTTTATAAATGTTTATTTACATTTAAAGGGGGATATGATATAGAGATCAATACTTTGCATTGGTATGGATCTTGGTTTATTGATATAAATTTAAAGTCAATTCTGTTACATGTATATTTCTGCTTTTTATTAAGGTATTGTGTTTGTGCAACTGATTTAAATATGCAATGTATAATTAAGAAATATAGGTTAATAGATAATCATTTATAATAGTCAAGCTTGTAGTCATGTTATTTAGGTTTTCTAGATATATAGAGGCATATTTCAGTTAGATAGGTATTCTTCAAATCTTTCAGAGACCTTCAGAATATGTCATTTAAATGTTTTAAGAAGTTAGGACTTTTCATAACAGTGAGACACATCTACTCCTGGCAGTGCCAATAACTTCAAGAGAAAGATGGGCACTGAAGAGGCTCTGTATAGAGTTTGTTAGCCATTTGGGCAAGGAACTGCTCTTGCCTGGACTGCTTGATATTATGCTGTGTGAATTGGAGATGCAGGATCTGCAGAGAAATGACTGCTGAACTTGCCTAAAAATGAGATGGTCTTTCAGGGTTCCTGCTTCATGAAAGAGTCTGCCAGACATTCTGCAATGTCTGTTGTGACTGACAAACTGCCAATAGAAGGAAAACTGTCTTTGAAATTTCCTGCTTCACAGAAAAGTCTGCAGGATACTGTGAGCCAGTAGGCTGAAGATGGGAGCCCACAACATTACAGAAGAACTTTGGGTGACTGTCCAGGTAGCGAGATGTCCCTGTCAATTCGAGTGTTTTGGAAGTTGCCTACAATGTACTTCCTGTTTACTTAGGTAATGTTATATCCTTCTGTAATCTTTGTTAAAGTTGAAGAATGGATAGTTATGATTACAGTTTTCCATAGTTATGATAAAAGATAGATATAAATATTGTAACTATAATTCTTGCTTGATACCTGTTTTGTTATATGTAATTTTACTATGTTCAAGTTAAAACCTTCCTTTTTATTTAAACAGAAAAGGGGAGGTGATGTGGGATTCCCCTCTGTATGCTGTGATTACCATTGATTAATAAAGAACTGCTTTGAGCCTATGGCAGGGCAGAACAAAACTAGGTGGGGAAAACTAAACTGAATTCTGGGAGAAAGAAGTCAGTGAGAAGCCATGGAGCCCTGCCAGAGACAGATGCAGGAACCTTACCCAGTAAGCCACAGCCACATGGAGATACACAGATTAATGGATATGGGTTAATTTAAGATATTAGTTAGCTAGAAATATGCTTAAGCTATTGGCCAAACAGTATTGCAAATAATATGGTTTCTGTGTGATTATTTCGGGGCTGAGCAGCTAGGAACAAACAAGCAGCCTTTGTACAACACAGTCCTAAGAACCACGTTTGTCTCTCTGACAGAGAATCTTTGCTTAAGGAAAACCTTGACAATTCAGATTCAGATCTTATTTCATAGCTGGGAAAGCATGGGCATACAACTAGCATGCAGTTTTATGAAAATGGATTATCACTGATAATATCTACTAATTATTATAAATTATTAGAACCCATTATTCCACTTCTAAAGGGGGCTAGTCATTCTTTCTCCAGGAGGTACCAGCAACTCTAACACTGTGGCTTTTAGTGTTTAATAGGAAATTCTAGGTTCATGGTTCTTAGAGGTCACAGACAAGGACGAATATCAAGGTTGTGAGCACTGAGCATGGCCATCTGTCCCTCACTGTGGACAGAGATGCCTGTGTATTGTACGCTGGGATTCTGCCTAAGAGTTATTTTTAAATGCACGACTGCCAAACAAGGCTATAAGCTATGGCGTCTCCAGATTACAGCCACTGTGTGAAACTATCTCAGTACTGTACTGGAATCTGGTTCCTTCTTGGTACAGGGTTCTTCAAATTCAGTTCTCAAGAGTTTAGGGGCCTGTGGGGAGCCTCAAATACTCTCAACCAGAAGAAGTCACACAAACACAATTCTGTAGCAAGTATAGAAGGCCCAGGGACTTATCAAAATCCAATCACAGAGTCTGGGTTAAAAATGTCAGCTCAGGCAGGCACAGCCATGCATGCTAGTAATCCCAGCCCTCAGGAGGCTGAGGCAGGAGGCTCAAGACTTCAAGGCTATTTGGGGACATCTAGGAGGCCCTATCTCAAAAATCCAAAAAGTAAAACAACAACAACCACCCAGTCTAAGATCCTATTCAGGACGGAACTCCTGGGAGAAAGAGAACAATAACTTGGGGTCACTGTTGGGCTCTGTTTAGAAGTGGTGGCTATTGGTTTTCTGTCACAGTATAACCCATGGGACCACTTTTCATCAGCCTTCAAGAATTACTACAGGAGCTGAGACTGGGGAACCGTCCTAAGTTTTCAGACAGTCTAGGAGTGAATTTCAGGATATATAGAGTGAGATCATTTTTCAAAATAAATACACCCCCTAAACAGATCAGCCACATGCTGGCCACGTGATTCTTATGGCTGATCGGTTCAATAACAGGAAGTTAGCTACTCTACTACAGCCACTGCAAGGAAACAACCTATATACTTGCTGTAAGAGCCTTTGTTATAGAGTTGATGATCAGTTCCCCCAAAGGATTCTTGTATGGCTTAATCCCCAACACTAATCGTGCTTAGAAGTGAGAATCGGAGAGAGAGGATTCGGGGGCGGGGGCAGGATGCAAAATCTGAATAGACTCGAAAGACGGAACTGGCAGATGGGGGCTGGATGGAGGACGGAGCTCCCCTGTGGCTGAATCTTAGGCTGGCGGCTTCCAGACACAGCTCCTTTTTGTTTGTGGCTGCCGTGAGGTGAACAGTTCCCCCCACCCCACCCCTTCTGTCATGGTGAAAAGCAGGCAAATCACACAGCCCTCTACCTAGCTCTGCATGAGCCAAAATGAATATCTTCTTCAAACTATTTCTCTCAGATAATAGTCGAGACAAAGAGCTCAAACAGTCTGGCACGTGGGGCTGAGTAGTGTTTAATACTTCGCACATGAGCACAAGCTGTCCCCTTGCTCTCTCCTCTCCCCCGAATCTTCATCTCTTCCTCTCTCCTGGCATAAGCTTGCGTTTGGCTTACCTGGGGCTGATTCAGGCTTGGCTGGCTGAGGCTTCAGCTGCGCACCCAACCTGCTCTGGGAAAAGTCTGAGTCCTCTGATTCGATGAGCGAACAGTAGGGATGCGGAGAGGCGTAGGGACTGCGGCACCAAGGACTCCGGTTGGGTAAAACGGTCGGCGAGATTTCCTTTTCTCTGCAACAAGAGAAAGACCGATTTGAAATCAAAGGCATTTATTTTATGTAGTAGTGTTAGTATTGGAGGTGCGATGAGAGAGAAAGCCCATTTAAGGAACCTAGAGGGGGCCACTCTTCCAGAGAACCTGCTTCAGTTTCCAGCACCCACACGGTGGCTTTTAGCAATCTGTAACTCCCAGAAGTCCTCTGCTAGTCTCTGTGGCTACAGGCTAAACACCCATACATAAGATAGAAATGAACCATAATAATGTTTAGAAAGAGTATGTCTTTCCTGGATCTGATAGCCAGGGTATTTATTGCGTCACCGATAGCATTTGGCTAAAGAGGAATGGAATTCTGCAACTCTGTCCCCAGCTAGCTGGAGGATAAATTCATTGCATACTTCTGCTTCCACTCTACCTGCTAAGCACATGGAGACGCTGTCACCTTCCCACCTCTCTACAGTTACCTTGCCTCTTGCAGTGCCAAGAGCTTCTTAAGGGGCTCAGGGACCTCAGGATTAACCCTTCAGAGCCTGTACGCAGGTCTCCGCTCTCTTCACAGTGCTACACTGTACTGGAGCCATGGCCTATTGACCGATGATCGTACATGGGCTCCCAGGGCATCCCACAGGCTCGGGTACTAATGGGGAAGGGCTCAATAAATAGGAAATGAAGTATTCTTTACCTCCTAAGAGCAGGGCAGGTGTGCCCTATCTGGCACTGGGAGGACTCTCTCTTTGCTGACTCCTTTTTTTCCTTATTGATGGAGGACGCAGATGCCACTCTCCACCCAAACAGATGGCTTTTCACTGTTGGAATCACTACTGAGCATCTCTCAAATTCAATGTCGGTCTCTAACTTCTCCCAAGCTTGCTTCCAGTGGATCGGAGTGTACCAGGCGATCGCCTAACAGAAACGAAGAGGGCTCAGTATCAAATATCACTGGAGCTGTATGTCTATACGGCCACAGGCCTACTGCGCTGTTATTCAGCTTTGGTTCCGGGTTTCTGTCTGAGGTAGGCTCTGGCTCTCACTCTGCTGTCTAGGTTGAGCTGGCACTTGTTGGGTTGCTCAGGCTATTCTAGAAGTCATGGTGATCCTCCTGCTTCAGCCTCCAGAGTGCTGGGATTAAAGATGTGAACTTTACACTTCAGAATATATTTCTAAAAATAAATTTTATTGTCTTTTTAAGTTTTCAACATTAATTACAGAATATATACATTTATACATACATATATATTAAACATATCTGTGATAAGAGCTAGTGAAATTTACTTTAGAAATTTTCAGATCCAATGCCATTTTATTGCTTATATTCCATGTGCCACACATTAGTTCTCCAGACTATTTGTGCTCTCCATGTTCTTTGGGTACACACCAGCAGAGACACTTCTGGGTCAAGTGCAATCCTGCTGTGATTCCTTTAAAGAGCCCTCCTCTGAACTCCCACTGTGAAGAAGGGGTAAATGCAAAACAAGGGCCTGGGAAAGCACCATAAAGTGCCAGAAAGCCTGCAGTTTTGTAGGAAGCATCATTCTGTTTGATCCCTACAAATATGAGATTATATACCATCATCAGCAATGTGCCATGAGTCTATGGACTTTAAAAACAGGGCAAGATGCTGTCCACTGGTCATGTTGGAGTCATACAGGATTCATGGCCACAGCTTACTGTCACTCGGTGTCTGGTGGAACCTCAGGCCTGTCTGCTTCAGTCAGCAGGTAGATAGGAATAGATTTCCCAGGAAGACCTTTCTCGTGATTGCAGAGTGAGGACGAGTTTCAACTGAGGTAAGAATGGGGTGATCTTTTTAAAATTTTTTATTTTATTTTTTAATTTTTTTTTAGAATTGCTTGTTTTTATTAGGGTCTCATTTGGACATAGAATCTTCTCACCTTCTCATTAAGGGTGCATTTTTTAAATGAGCAATGCCATTGCTTTATCACAGCTGGGTTTTTCTGACGGGATATAACCCAAGGATGGGGAACTGAAGCAGAGGCCATGGAGGAACTCTGCTTACTGGCTTTCTCCCCGTGGCTCCTGCTCAGTCTGCTTTCTTAGTTAGGCAAGGCTTACCTGCCCAGTGTCACCTCACCCAGAGGGAGCTGGGCTCTCCTGCACTATAGGCCACCTTCTATACTAAAGTCCACTCTTTCAAGATGACTGACTCTAGCTGTGTCAAGCTGACATAAACCACCAGGACAAGTACAAAACAATGCAATGACTGAAGGGAGGAAGAGATTCTCTGGAGGACCATGACGGTTTCTGAAGCGACAGTCGGATGACGGGCATTAATGCTAGTAAAGTATCACTGATGCTGGCTCGTGGTCTCAGGGATTTCAGCCCCTGTGGTGGGTGAGCATGATAGAGTGGCTCCATGGTGATGGGAGGATTTGGCAGAACCCCTCATACCGTGGAAGACCAAGACACAGAAGGCACAAAAGGAAGAAGCCATCTACAGTTCCTCCAGAGAAGACCAACCTCCCAAAAGTCCAAACCCCCTCATACAGTGCCCCCTACTGGAAGGCAGGTGTCCTGACATTTCACATCCCAACCATCACTTTTCTAAAAATTAATTAATTAATTTCACATCCCTATTAAAGGCCCCTCCCTCCTCTCCTCCCATTTCCTCCCCACCTCACACCACCCCCCTTCTCCCACTTATCCTCAGTATTCGCTCAGAAAGGGGCAGGTTCCCCAGGGGCATCAGCAAAGCAAATCAAGCTTCCGTAATAGCAAGCACCACTCTCTGTATTTAGTCTAGACAAGGCAAACCAACATGAGGAACAGGTTCCCTAGAGCCAGCCAAAGAACCAGGGACATAACTGCTCCCATTGCCAGGAGTCCTGCAAATGGACCCTGGCACAATCGTCACATAAATACAGAGGGCCTCGGTCAGTCCCATGTACACTCCCTGGTTGTTGGTTCAGACTCTGTGATGGAGGAGGGTCATCTGTCTATCTGTTGCTTTCAGTGGTTAATTAATAAAGAAACTGCTTGGCCTGATAGGTCAGAACATAGGTGGGTGGAGAAGACAGAACAGAATGCCGGGAAGAAGGGAAGTTGGTCAGATGCCATGGAGCCAGCCGCCAGGTCAGACATGCTGAATCTTTCCCGGTAAGCCACCACCTTGTGGTGCAACACATATTATTAGAAATGGGTTAATCAAGATGTGAGAGTTAGCCAGTAAGAGGCTAGAGCTAATAGGCCAAGCAGTGTTTAAAAGAAAACAATTTGTGTGTTGTTATTTCGGGTGTAAAGCTAGCCATGCGGAAGCCGGGTGGGACGAAAAGCAGGCCTGCTCACCTCATCACTATATCTGTGTGTTCCCATGAGCCAGGCTAGCCATTTCTGTGGGTTTTCCTTTGATGTCCTTGACTCCAAGGCTCCTAAAACCCCTCCTCACTCTCCTTGATAGGACTCCCCAAGCCTAGCCCAATGTTTAGCCATTGGTCTCTGATGGAGGAAGGTCATTGGTTAAATAAAGAAACTGCTTGGCTGGCCCTCATAGGTTAAAACATAGGTGGGAGGAGTAAACAGAACAGAATGCTGGGAGGAAGAGGAAGTGAGCTCAGACCGACAGCTCTACTCTCTGGAGCAGAGACGCCATGCTCCCGGCTCCTGGGCAGACACACGCGATGAAGCTCCGACCCAGGATGGACGCAGGCTAGAATCTTCCTGGTAAGATCGGTGCTCACAGATTATTAGAGATGGGTTGATCGGGATATCAGAATTAGTCAGTAAGGGCTAGAGCTAAAGGGCCAAGCAGTGTTTAGATGAATACAGTTTCCGCGTAATTATTTCGGGTAAAGCTAGCCGGGTGGCGGGAAGCACCCCGCTGTTCCTACTACTCCAGGTCTCTGCATGTGTCTCCATCAGTCGCTGGATGAAGGCTCTCTGATGACAACCAGGGTTGTCAGCAATCTGATCACAGGGGATGGACCATTCAGGCTGTGCACCCATCAATGCCAGGAATCGTAGCTGGGGCCATCCTTATAGACTTGTGGAAGTTTTCCTTGCATCTGGGACTCCATAAAGCCCCCCTTTCCATTTATCTCTCTCGGCACTGACCCCCCCAACCTGATCCCTCATGTTCCCATGCCCACCTGCCCCCATTCCACCCAGGAGATCTATTTCCCCTTCTCTGGGAGATCCCTGTGTCTCCCCCTTGGGCCCTTCTTGTTACCTGGTCTCTCTGGGTTTGTAGATTATAGCTTGGTTATCCTTTACAGCTAATATCCACTTATGAGTGAGTACATACCATGTTTGTCTTTCTGGGTCTGGGTTACCTCACTCAGGATGATTATTTTCTGGTTCCATCCATTTGCCTTCAAGTTTCCTGATGTCATTATTTTTAACAGCTAAGTAATACTCTATTGTGTAAATATACAACACTTTCTCCATCTATTCTTTGGTTGAGGGGCATCTAGGTTGTTTCCAGGTTCTGGCTGCTATAAATAAAGCTGCTCTGAACATAGCTGAGCAAGTATCCTTGTGGTATGATTGAACATCATTTGAGTGGTATTGCTGGATCTTGAAGTAGATGATTCTCAATTTTCTTAGAAACTAACATATTGATTTCCAAAGTGATTGTATAAGTTTGCATTCCCACCAGAAACAGAAGAGTGTTCTTCTTGCTCCATATCCTCTCTAGCATAAGCTGTTATTTGTTTTTGATCTTAGCCATTCTGATAGGTGTAAGACTGTGGAGGCCCAAAAATGTGAGCCTATTCCACCTTGTCTGATGGTCAGAGACTTTGGAGTTTGCTCAATATTGTTGAAGCAAGTGTAGCTACACATCCTGACTCAGGATGTGATTACTCGGGTCTTTTGACATTACGATGGCTCATGCACGTAGATCCATTCCATCCTGACAGATGGTCAGGATATGAAAGCATACTTTTGCTCCTTCTTTTGTAAAATGAGTTTACCTGGGAAATGACTTCCTTCAGGATACTTGGTCTAGGGTGGCTTCACTGCCTAAACAACAGAATGCTAATGACTTGATATCTGAAAGTGTTGAAGCAATTAACTGTTGAGTTGTCCTTTGGATCATGTTAAAGAAGTCTTTTGTTGCCTTCTCCCTTTGGTACTGGGGTATAAAAGTGTATGGAAAATTAAATGTGGTGATTTCAGTATTCACCGAAACTCCCTCCCAGTACTATTCTATGGTTTCTGTTTCATTAGTTTTAAACATGTCTTTGTGTTCTTTACTTACATTTCTGATCCCCATGAGCCTACCCTGGCAAGAGTTGTATTTGTTGAGGCTGGTCTCCAATATAAGATGGAATCTCAGTCGTTTTGATTTGCATTTCACTGATGGCAAAAGTTGATGAACATCCCTTCAAGTATTTCTCTGGCATTTGAGACTCTTCTGTTGAGAATTCTCTGTTTAGGTCAATACCCCATTTTTAAATTGGATTATTTTTTTTGATGCCTAGTTTCTTGAGTTCTTTATATATTTTGGAGATCAGCCCTACGTCAGATTTGGGGTTGGTGAAGAGATTTTCCCATTCTGTAGCTGCTGTTCTGTCCTACTGACAGTGTTTTTCGCCTTACAGACGCTTTTCAGTTTCATGAGATTTCATTAATTAATTGTTAGTCTTAATGCCTGTGCTACTGGTGTTCTATTTAGGAAGCTGCCTTCTGTGCCAATGTGTTCAAGGCTATTCCCCAGTTTCTATTATTAGGTGCAGTGTATCTGGTTTTATATTGAGGTCTTGATTCACTTCGACTTGAGTTTTGTGCCAGACAATAGATATGGATCTATTTGCATTCTTCTACAGGCTGACATCCAGAAATGCAGCACCATTTGTTAAACATACTTTCTTTTCTCCATTGTATAGTTTTGATTTCTTTGTCAAAAGTCAGGTATTCAGAGGTGTGTGGATTTATTTCTAGGTCTT